GAAGGATACATTGATCTTGACCTATTTCCCACATATACAATTACAGGCATTCACAGGTCCCCATAAATACACACATGGCTATGGGTTCACTCAAGGTGCTTGACTTAATTCACCTGGTTTACCCATTGTGGGAAAGTTGCATAAGTCACACTGTCATAAATCAACTCAACTGGCTGGGTTTGTACTAGGTTAGTTTAGTTTACTATTTAGGTTTAACTTACATGGAAAAGCCAGTAGCTCAAATTGTGTTGTGCCCCACCAGCGGCCAGAGTGGGACAGTGAGGAGGTTGGGGAGGAACATTGGCCAGTCCTGGGGGCTGAGGAAAGCTCAGACGAAGGCTCTGCTTCGGAGGCAGAGAGAGAGCCAGACAGCAGTGAGGCAGAGGAACAGCTGGAGCCTGTTCCCAGTGTGCGCATGCGCAGAGCTGCCAGAAGACAAGAACAAGTAAGAAAGCAGGGTTGACTTAGGAGTAAAGCCACACCTTGGAGGAGATTGGCCCCTCCCACAGGAAACAAAAGAGTAGTGAATGGGGAGGGGGCTTTTGCAGGAAACAATTCATTCTTTCAATGAATTGGAAAGTTCTGTTTGTGACTATAAGAGACTCTGTGCCAAGTTTTGCCTTGCCCTGCGTTTGGAAACTACTTATCTGGCAGCTCTCCAAGCGAGATAAGGTTCGTGTTGATGAATATTCCTCTGAAAGACTGTTTGCTAAGCGGATTGTGAATGAAAGGAATTCACAGTCGTGTAAATAAAAGGCCTTTTGCCAGGACCAAGACTCTGCTTCTTGCTTTTTAAGGAAGCCTGGGTCAGGACACTAGAATCTCTCAGCCTGGCAACTATCCAAGGACTGATAAGGTCTGTTGTTGCAATTAAACTTTGAAAGACTTACTGCTGGGACATTTTCTGAAGGTGAATGCAAGGAATTCACATTAACCAAATAAAAAGGGTGGGGTTTTGTTTTGCAGGACAAAGAGCCTGTTTGGTGATTTTGTGAAGCCTAGGACAGAACAGGGAGGATTCTGGAAAGTGAAAGAAGGAGAGAGGGATGAAAGGGATTTCTTTGGGGGGCTCTTTTGATTTCAGCAGCCGAGTGGAAAAGGATGAAATTTTGCAGAGTGATAGAAGAGATTCCAAATCCGTAAAGGATGCAACAATCAAAGCCTCTTTAGAGAGGAAGGACTCTCAAAAGTGTGTCGTATGAGAAGCTGGAAGCATAGAATTGCGTTGTTTTTTTTAATTACAGGTAGTCCTCAAGTTACAACCGTTCATTTAGTGACCATTCGAAGTTACAACGGCACCGGAAGAAATGACTTACGACTGTTCCTCTCGCTTACAACCCATGGTGGCCTCTACGGGGCCACGTGATCAGAATTCACATTTTTGACAACCAACTCTTATTTATGACGTATGTCGTGTCCCGGAGTTATCCTCTTTTGCGACCTCCTGACAAGCAAAGTAAAACGGGGAAGCCAGATTCGCTTAATGGCCGCGTTACTAACTCAGCCACTGTGACGATTCACTTGCAAACCGTGGCAGGAATTGTTGTAAAATGGGGCAAAATGCACTTAACGAATGTCTCGCAGAACAACAGAAATGTTGGGCTCCGGTTATAGTCGTAAGTCGAGGATTACCTGTAGCCGTTACTTGCCACCTCTTTCACACCGTCCTCCTTCCAAAGGGGTTTGGACTAGAAGACCTCCAAGGTCCCTTCCAACTTTGTTGTTCTGTTGTTGTTGTTCTTGTTGTTGTTTTATATTAAGGGGCCTAATTTCATGCTGGCACTCATCTGCACTTCTCAAAGGACTGGAATGATGATGGGTTAGAGCAGTGTTTCTCAACGTTGGCAACTTGAAGATGTCCGGACTTCAACTCCCAGAATTCCCCAGCCAGCGCATGCTGG